TCAAAAAGACAAAATAAATAAATATAAATAAAGATTAAAAAATAAAATAAAAGTAAATTTCCCTGTCTGGTCTCGAACTTATGATCCTTCTGCTTCAGCTTTTTGAGCAGCAGCAATTTTTGTTTGTTTGTTTGTTTTGTTTTGCTTTTTTCTTTTTTTGAGACAACGTCTTGCTATGCAGTTCAGGCTGGCTTCGAGCTCACTTTGTAGCCCAGGCTGGTTTTGAACTCTCAATGATCCTCCTGCCTCAGCCTCCCAAGTGCCGGGATTACAGGCTTGTGCCACCACACCCAGCAAAGATATTTTTCTCTTGTCTTCTTGAGACAGGGTCTTGTTATGCAGTTCAGGCTGGCCTTGAGCTCACTTTGTAGCCCAGGCTAGTCTCAAACTTGCAACGATCCTCCTGCCACAGCCTCTTGAGTGCTGGGATTCCAGGTGTGCGCCACCACTGCCCGAAAGCTACAGAGATTGCAGGCGTACTCCACTGCACCCCAGAGCTCAGTGCTTTTCTTCCCAAGGATTCTGTGAGGGCAGCTGCTCTCACGCCTTGTTCAGGCTCAGGCTATATTCACCGTGCAGCTCAAGGGGCAGAGCTGGGATGAGGAGCAGGCCTGCCTTCCCCCACAGCCTCAGCAGCCTCAACCCCCACAGTGCAGCTTTCCCAGCCTAGCTCCGCTAACAGAGCCCTGACCCCTGGAGCTGAGCAGACAGGTCTAAGCAGTCATGCTAAACCCCTGCTGTTCTGAAATTGCTCTATGGTTCATGTGCTGCAGCAGGCTGCTTATATCCCTGAAAGCTATAAAAGGTTTGCCATCACTTGTCTAGAGTGACTGTGATATAGTCTATGGAGTGCTTCTGAGAAGTTGAAGACGGAATCTGTTTTCTTATACCCTGTTGCCTCTTATTCAGGGCCCTGTTGTGTGAGGGCTGATACCTGGAGCTATGGCAGCTGTTTTGTGCCCATGAGGAGCAAACATTCAGATCTGATTTCCCTGGAGGTAGGACTTTCAGCACTAAAACTAAGAAAATCCTAGGCAAATCCTAGGACCACCCATCCTAAATTGGTGGCACAGAGGACAGAGAAAAACTTGGGCATTTGTCAACAACCTAACTTCTGAAAAAAAAATTTTTTTTAAACATAAACGAATATGTTTATGGTTTAAGTCTCGGTTTTGTTCCTTGAAGTTGAAATAACAGGTATGGCCAGGCCTGGTGGTGCATGGCTGTAACCCCAGCACTCAGGAGGCTGAGGCAGGAGGATTGCTGCGATTTTGAGGTCAGCCTGGGATATATAGTGAGTTCTGAGACAGCCTGAACTAGATAGTGAGACCCTGCCTCAAAAACAAGCACAAACTGCTCAGTGGCACGAGAGCCTGCCTGGCAAGTGTGAGGTCATGAGTTCGATTCCCAGTACAAAACAAACAAACAAACAAACAACAGCAAAAAACCCCACAAGCTCTAAAAAGAAAGAAAAGAAATCACAAGTGTGACAGTTCTGCTCCTCCCATCCTTTCCCACCTCTTACCTTCCTTCTGTTCCCACCACTGTGTTCCTGCCGAGTGTCTGCTACTGGCAATGCGTTCATGCACGCAGGCGCCCTTCACAGCGTCTCCTCCCTGTGCCCTCCTCCGCCTGTTCTCTGCTGACTCTTCCTGTGCATGGCCCATGCCATGGTATGCTGAGCGTTCATTACCCCTCTTCTCCTTTCCACTATTTCTCAGTACTGGGGACTGAACCCCAGGGCCTTTGCACTGAGCTACCTCTCCAGCCCTTTTTTAAAGGATAGAAATTGTTAAGTCGTGAGCCATTAAGATGCCCCAGGTTGATTTTAAACTTGTGATCCTCCTGCCTCAGCCTCCAAAAGTGCTCGGATTATGGGTGTGCACTACCACCACTCCTGCTCTCCTTCTTGCCTGCCTCCTTTTCCCACCCCCTGAGGTAGACGCCCTGGGCAGTGAGCAGCACGACTTCTGTGTCATCCCCAGCCCTCTTCTCCGGGACTCCGTGGTTCCATGGTGAGTGACCCACCAACTTGATATGACACATAGGTGCAGGCTAAGCTTCTCCTCTCTGCCAGGAAATGAGGTCAGCCAGGCTGACCCACCTCACTTCAGGGTGTCGGGCTGCTCCATCACCCTCACCCTGGGCTGGTGTTGCTCATTTCCAACCAGGCGAGGCCCCAGGGCCACCCCAGCTCCCCACCTGCCGGTCCTCTCCCACCCTGTGGCTGACTCAGCCCGGCCTTTTCTGGGAGAGCCCTGAGGGTGGGCATGCTCCTTTAGGTTGCAGCCATCTCTTGCCCCTGGGGCCCTGAGCCCTTCTCAGTCCTTCTGTCCTGGGCAAGTCATGTTTGTAACTCTGTACCCATTGGGACTTGGTCTGTACCTCTAGCGAAAAGGGAACACCTTGAGCCCATGCCTGGCACAGGACCACCCCAGGGCAGGGCAGGGCAGGTGGCCAGGGGTCTGCACAGTCCCACTGTGCTTAGGGCTCAGGCTGGAGTCCGGGTCCCGCTGGCCCTGCAGAGCTTCCTGGGCCGGCGGCTCCCATCCTGGGGAATGGATGCTGGGGTGCTGAGCCTAGGCCCTGGGGCTGGGCCTACGGGACAGGAGCCAGTGGGCTTCCAGGAAGGGAAGCCGAGGATACACCTTCCCGGCAAGTCCCTAGGAGGACAGAGATCCAGTTCCCTGCCATCCTGTTGTCGCTGGGGGCAGGGGTGGTGACCCTGAGAGCTGGGCCGCAGCTGTTCGAAGCAGGGCAGTGCTGGGGACCTGGAGCCCAGGAAGGCCATCTATTGGCTGTGGCTTGGGGCAGTGGGCGAGGTCAGGGCGGGGCAGGCCCTTCCTGGAAGCTGGGCGGCCCTGTCTGTCACTCTGTCATGCTGCCCGCTGCATTCCTCAGACTCCTATTTCCAAGCAGGCTCTGGGGTAGGTCCCAGGCTGGCCTGCCCTGGGCCTGGGGTCACTTGAGCTGTTGCCTGGATCAGGAGCTAGGATGGGGGTCCAGAGGATGCTGATACAAGGGGAGTCATCTTGGGGCTCAGGTGAGCCGTGTGCATGCACGTGTGTGCATGCATGTGTGTGCACGTGTGTGTACATGTTGGTGGCCCTGTGGAGCCAGGGTCATAGGCTGGCTTTGTGGAGTCTCTCCTACTGGTGGGAGAGTGCAGAGGGGGTGGGGTGCCCCCAGGGCCACGACTGACCGGCTCCTGGTGACTGCTGGGGTGTTGGAGAAGAGGTCAGAAGGCCCTCACCGTCCCAGACCTTTCTCAAAGCTCCTGGATCACAGGCCTCACGGTCCAGGCTGTTGTCTGCCTCATATCCATGTTCCTCTCCCCGTGCAGGCCAGGAACCACGGGGCAGCAAAGGGCGAAGGCTGGACCCCAGCAGCTTGTCCCACATGCTTTGGTGAGCACACCATGGACACCAAGGCTAGCGACGAGAGGTGTTTATTTAACCATTTATTTATTTACTTCTCCATTTATTTATATTTGTGGTGCTGGGGATTAAGCTCAGAGCTTCCATGCTGAACTACATACCCAGCTCTTTTTATTTTTTATGAGCCAATAAGTCACTAAGTTGCCTGGGGAAGACTCAGATTTTTGATCCTCCTACCTCAGTCTCCCAGAGTGCTAGAATTATGCACGTGTACCACCACGCCTGACTCTTACTGAACTTTTTTGTGCTAGAGATCACATAAAATTTTCCATTTTAACTACTTTTAAGTTCGCAGTTGAGTGACCTTAAGCACATTCACATCGTTGAACAACTGTCTCCAGCCTCCATCTCCAGAACTCTTTCATCCTCCCAAACTGAAACTCTGTCCCCCTTGGGCACCGACTCCCGGGCCCCTGACACCCCATTCTGTTTCGTCTCCGGGAGTCAACCTGCCCTGGGGCCTCTGAGGATGGAATCACATTGTGTGTGTGAAATGCTCAAGGTCGGAAGACCAGGCATGGAGTGTGTCAGAATTTCTTCCCGTTCCTGTTCCCTGGTACGAGCACCACACTCTCTGTTCATCACCCAGGGACTGGGCTCTGCCACTCCTTGGCCCTAGTGACATCCAAGACTTTGACCCCGGCATTTAGCAGTGTGGGAAACTGAACCCTCAATTTCTCCGCCGGTGAAACAGGATCCACAGCAGTCCCTGTGGCGGATTCTTTCGGAAGGGAGGAGCTGGGATTGAACCCAGGGCCTCAGTACTGAGCTACACCCTGGCCCGAGCCTCTGTGAAATAAAGTCTGTTCTGGGGTCCCAGCTACTGGGCGGGCGCTCCGTCTCCCGCAGCCTGGGAGATGGGGTATGGGGCTCCCCGTCAGGGGCTCAAGCAGACATGTTGGGGCTTAGGGTGGTGGGGCCAGGCAGGGACAGTGGGAGCAGCCTCCTCAGGGCACAGTAGGGGAGCTCTGCACTTTCTCTCCATTCTGCACCCCATACCCTTCCCCAGGGCTCCCCACCTGGCCTTCCAGAATCCTCTCATGGGGCACCTGACATCCCTGACCTGGACATCTTCTCTCTGGGTTTAGGCCTCAGGCCCGCCTCCTGCTCAGACCTGGAGTGAGGCCCTCCAGGGCCTTTAGCAGAGAGATCCAAGTGCCAGCCAGCTCCCAGGTGCCTGCTGCTCCTCCTCCCGTGGGACCTTCCCCTGAAACCAGGCCCAGCCCCATGCAGGGAAGCAGCAGGAAAGTTCAGGAAGCTGGGCAGCTCCCCAGATTGAGGGATGGAGGGCTGGCAGCCAGCAAGCCGGGCCATGGCATCAGAGAGGATCTTGGACACTTTAGGGCAGGATTCCAGGTCTCTGCCAGCCCTCAGCCTGGGCGTCCCTACTTCCTGCTGGACATTGACCTCCACAGAGCCTTCTCCCCCTCTTTGTTCTCCAGCCCTGCGCTCAGCTGCGGAGGGTGGCTCTGGGTGCAGGAGCTGGGAGCTGATTAACCAATCACCCAAGGGCGCTGGGACAGCTCCTTCCGAGTCCTCCGGTACTCCGCCTCCAAGCCTCGGCACCCTCACCTGGATGACACAGGTGGGCAGCAACTGGGCAGTATCATTCTTATGTGAGGGGACCAGGATCAGGGCATGATGGTGCAAACCTGTAAATGCTGGCACTGTGGGAAGCAGAGGCAGGAGGATCACAAGTTCAAGCCTAGCCTGGACAATTGAGCAAGTGAGTCCTTGTCTCAAAATTAAAAATAGCAAAGGGCTGGGGAATGTAGCTCAGCGTGAAGGCCATGGGTTCAACCCCCAGTACTGCAAAAATAAATAAAGAAGATCAGCTGGCCAGCAGCTCAGTGGGTGAGTTAACTTTCTTCCTGGCTCCTTAATGTCCCATCTCTAACCTGGGGCAGCAGATCAGCTTCACTTGTACAAGCAAGCAAGGGTAAGACAGAGGGTTAGAGATGGCCACCAGCCAGGACACAGCCACAAAGGCAAGTGGCCTGGGCAGACAGGGCTCCCTCCCTGCCCTGCCCCACCCCACCCTACCCTGCAGCCCCAGTTCCCAGGGGCCAGGGCCCTGTTTGGAGCCTTGTGGTGGAAGCTGCTCTTTCTTCTTCCCTGTGTCCCAGGGTGCTCATCCTGCCTTACTGCCTGGGGCTGGGAGAGAGATCTGCCCAGGACAAGGCTTGCCAGACTATTAGGAGGCAAATGCTGAGCCTTCCCAGGACGTCAGGACCCGCACTCACCCCTCTGAGGCCCACATTGCAAGTGGGTGTCTCAGTTCTGTACTAGAGCTGATCACAAGGCGCTGCAGGGTGGGGTGGGGTGGGGGTGTTCTCTGGGGATGGTCTCTCTGTGGTTGCCTCGTGGTGGTGTCAAGCCCGCCTTCCTTCCCCACCAGCCTCCTGGACCCACTGCAGTTCATAGCACAGCTGCAGTCTCTGAGATCCTGTCCCTGGCATTCATGCCCTTGAGGGCTCGTCCCATGCTGAACCTGGGGGATCCACGTGACATCTGGGGTTGAGGGAGTTGAGTGCTCCCTCTCCCGTCTTGGTGTTTTGGCTGCCTTGGCTCAGGGGAAAGCTGCTCACTACTTCCTGAGGAGCCCCAGGCCAGCCTAGAGAAGCTTTGTGAAGAGCACTCCAGGCCCCAAGTGACACCACATGAGCCACCCCCTGAGCAGCCGGTCCTATGGGCCAGGAGGAGCTCACCGCAAACGCAGCCAGCTGACGTGGACCTGCAGCCTGTAAGACAGATCTTGGGCTGGAGCACCTGGCCTGCTGCTCTTGGATTCCTGACCTGCAGAACCTGTGATGATAAACCGTGATCCTTGCTTTAACCACCAAGTTTTGGGGTGAATGTCAATGCAGCCAAAATGAGCAGAATGCCTTGGGTAACTGCACCCCCATTCAGTGAGGGGGCCCCAGCCTTCAGTGCCCTAAGATTCATCATCCCTCTGACACCGAGGACCCTAAAGCAGCCCTGCAGCACGTAAGCATCAGAGAGGTGCAGCCACCACCCCTGCCTCGTTCGGTTGCTCGGAAGTCAGTCTGGAAGGTACCGGCACCAACAAAGGGGAATGTCGTGGGGTGGCACCCAGAAACCGCCTCAGGTGTGATCACGGGTACTGAGGTCTTCTAGCACCCTGCTGTGTGTGATATTCTTGTCTCTGTCTTGTGTTCTCCACCGGCCAGGGTGAAAGTTGATTTCCCAGTACCTAATCCTGTGCTCCAGATATTATTTACACATCACAACAACTTAGGAGGAGCTACAGTCAGGCCCAGGCACCCCTCGACATGCCCAGGGTCAGTTAGCAGCTATTAGTCAGGACTGCCGGAAGCCAATTAAAACTGTCATAAGCAATTAGAAGAGGGTTATGTTACCTGCTCATGTGACCAAAACACACAGGGTGAGAGCAGAGCCTCCAGATTCACCAGCGGCGGACCCTACCCAGAACCCTTCCTCCATCTCCCAGGTCGGCTGGCTCTGCCCAGCCTCTGCCCTCCAACGGGCTCTCTGGAGTAGTGACAGCTCCAGGAAGGGCTTGGACTGGGGCTGGCCTGGGGCTGCTGTGGTCTTGACCCCAGTCTGGACCTAAACAGGTATGCATGTTCTGATCAACCAGCCCTGGGTCACGGCCCCCAGGGCCCCCAGAGCCACAACCACACTGGAACCCTTCGGTCCCACCCTTGAGCCACATGGACCGGCACAGTGACAGCAGCAGCTGGACGGTCCTACCGAGCAAAGACAATGGGGGCAGAGCTGGGCCTGGTGCAGCAGGAGGAAGAGGGGGCCTTTGGGAGGCTGTGAGGTCCTGAGGGCTCCCCTCTCTCAGTGTGACCGAGGCCATTCGGAAAGAGGCTTCCAACGGTGTTGGGCTCCCGTCTTTGTGCCCCTGTCACTCTGCTGTGTGAGGACATTGCCTTCATCATCTCTGGAGGAGGTAGCAGCAAGCTGCCACGCCGGCCACAGACAGTGGTCCTCTCTGTCACCAACCCTGCTGCAGCCCTGAAGTTGGGCTTCCAGGCTGCAGAACTGTGAGAAACCACGGGAGCTGTTTGTCATTGCCTCGCCTCAGATCCTCCACAACAGCAGCAACCTCAGGAATGGCTTCCACCTAACTTAACGCGGCTTTGCCCAAAGGGAGAGGAGGGAAAGGGGAAGTAAAAAGAATTAAGGTGTTGGGTACATGTTCCAACTTCCCACAATGAAGGGAATCATTATGTACTATAAACATGAACTAATAAAAAAAAATTTTTTTTAAATTTCTGGGCATAGTTCCCACTCAGGAGGCTGAGGCAGGAGGACTACTGCAAGTTTGAGGTCAGCCTGAACTACACAGTGGGAACCTGTCTCAAAAAAATTAAAAATTAAGCGCACACACACACACACACACACACACACACACACACACGAACACACTTGATGTCTTATCAGTTATTCCTCTTCTAGTCAGAAATCTCACCAGAATAAATGATAAAGTCAGACACCTCCAACATACCCAGGGCCCCCAGGGCCACAAATGCTCGAGCGTCATTCACATTACAGCATTTCCAACAGTGTCCCCTTGGAGTTGTGCAGTGTGTAGCCTGCGCAACTGTATGCATGGGTGGTCCTGCGTCATATACTTTATGTTTTTTTTCCGGTACTGGAAATCGAACTCTCAACCTCGCACTTGCCAGGCAGGTGCTGTGCCGCTGAGCTAAATCCCCAGCCCTCATATACTTTATGTAGAACAGTAAGGAAAAGAAAGAGAGAAAGGGGCTGCGGGTATAGCTCAGTGGTAGAGCACCTGTTTGGCATGTGTGAGGCCTTAGGTTCCATCCCCAGCACTGGAGAAAGGGAATAAATTGGAATGAGATAAAAATGACCACAGTGAAAAAGGAAAAGTTACAGAGTCCTTCGTGCTGGTGCAGCTGGTGTTTATAACCCTTCTGCCCTTGATGGGGGCCATGTTTGATTCTCTCCCTCCCAGACTCACCCAGTGTGTACAGGGTTCCCCTACCCTCCAGCCCCCAGCTGCAGGGAAGATGTGCCAGGCTGGGACGGGAGATGCCATCTGGCGCCTACCCTAGAGGGGAGGTTGAAGTACTCACCACAGACTTCCAGAGCAGGGGCAGTGGGGCTCATGGAGCAAGAGCAGCCTGCATCTGCTTGCTGCTCGCATGCACTTCTGAGTGAAGATGGAAGATGCTGGGGCAAGGGGGTGGGATTCCCAAGGGGCGGGAGCAGGGACCCTGAGGTGCTGGAGCTGGTTTGCAGTGTGGACACAGCAATCAACCCAGGTAATGGGATTACATAAGCTAAACACACCATGCCATGCTTCACACCTGTAATCCCAGCACTCTGGAGGCTGAGGCAGGAGGATTGCCATGAGTTCAAAGCCAGCCTTGCTTACCTAAGCAAGTTCAAGGCCAACTACCACTACACAGTGAGACCCTGACTCAAAAAAACAAAACAAAACAAAACTAAACTAAACTAAACTAAACTAAACTAAACCTCTAAACACACTGAGTGAACCCAAGCAGCACTGGGTAAACCTGAATAAGGCTGCAGACTGCAGCAAGGTTGATATACCAGCTGTGAACCTGGACTGTAGGCTTTTGTTTGTTTCATTTTGTTTTTGTTTTTTGAGACAGGGTCTCACTATGTAGTCCAGGCTGGCTTTGAACTCATACTCTTCCTGCCTCAGCCTCCCTGCTGCTGGGATTACCAGAGTGAGACACCATATCCAGCTGTACTGTAGTTTTGAAGAATGTTGGGGTGGGGGTGAGTAAAGTATGCATGAGACCCGAGAACACACTCTCTGCCTCTCTCTCTGGCAGTGCTGGGGATGGAACCCAAGGCCTTGTCCAAGACAAGCCAGCACTCAGCCACTGAGCCACAGCACCATCCCTCTCTGTTAGGTTTTTGGTTTTTTTGCTTTTTTTTTTTTGAGACAGTGTTGCTATGTAGCCCAGGCTGGCCTCGAACACACAGTGGAGTGCTGAACCCAAGTGCAATGCTGAGATTACAGGCATGCGCCACTATACCCAGCTCTGCGTTAGTTCTTACACCTGTGAATCTATGATTCTCAATAAAAAGTTCAATGGAAAAAAAATGTGTTTCAAGTGCCAGAGTTCTGGCTCGGGGCCACTCCCTCATGTCCCCAACAGCACAGGCTTGCAACACCCCCAGCAGGCAGACCCTCCTCCCAGGACCCGGGGGCTTAGCCCAGAGGCTGCCCCCCTGGGTGTTCCTGTCGGGGACACTGGCCAGTAAGCACAAGAAGGGATCGCTCTGATGGCTGGGGCGAAGGGCACCGCCGTCTGGACCTGGTCAGACTGCCCCTGGGAAGCCAGCCCATGCCTGGCCTGAGCCCAAGGTGCCCCTCTGGGAGCACAGCCAGCACCCAGCAATGTCAGCAGACGCAATTCCCACCTCGCCCTGTGCACACACCTGAGGTGAGCCCAAAGTCCACGACAAGGCTTCTGACAATCCGTGCCAAACACCCCAAAACCTCACCAGCCAGCCCCGCCTCTGTTGCCCCCTTGATTCCGCTCCTTGATTGGGCCTCAGCGAATCCCACCTGGCCCTGGCTGGATCGCCAGGGCTCAGCTGCCCAGGAGCTCTGCGTTTGCAGGGGTCTGGGCTCCCTGTGTGGGCTTCATCCCCCCAGGATGCCGGCAGCAGAGATGCCAAGGTCCCTGTCTGCTGTGGACATCCTAGAACCTCTCCTTCTCCTGCCACCTCCAGAGGGAGCGGGACCCTAAAACCCAGCAGGGTCTGAGGAAGCTCAGGGGCTAAGGGATGAGTGGGCTCAGGGTCCAGGTTTCCTTCACCTCCCAAAACAAAGAACCCCCAGGAAAGCGGTAGGGAAGAGGGCCCAGCAGCCCTGAAGGCAACTGCTTTACTCCACCACCTCCTCCCCATGAAACCCCCTGGAAGGGGCAGAACCCCAGAGCACCCGGCCTCCATGGAGAGCAGGAAGAGGGACGCACATGCGCGCGCAACACACACACACACACACACACACACACACACACACACACCCTCTTTCTGCTTTGGGGCCCAAGAAAAGGCTGAACTGAAGTTAAATTGGGGGTGGATGGATAGAGGCAGGTCACCCCCATGGATCAGACCTCCTAGGTACGGGGGTCTCCCTCTGCCTCCTACCCCACATCTCTCTCCTATCGCTCCTTCCATCTCTCCCTACCTGCTGGACGGCTGCCATGCAGGGCTGGAAGCTCCTGTCAGCCCCTTTAGCGGGCTGAGCCCCTCTCTGGAACTTCCTGCAGCCCCTTCCCAGAGCCTGAGGCTCTACACCCAGAGCGACAATCAGCCCCACCCCGGTTGCAGCAACTCCTAGCTCTGGCCTCCGTTAGTTCTCCTGACTGCGCGTTTGCTGGTCACTCAAATCCCTAAAAAGTGCCGGGAGTGGGTAGGTAGAGGCAGAGAATAGTTCTAGCGAGGGAGAAGGGCTGGTCGGTCTAGGCTGCACAGCCTGGGCTTCGGGGTCGGGTAGTGAGGGGTGGTCTCCAGCAGGGTCCTGGGCGGGGGGCGATGCCCGCCCGCACGCACAGCTCTGGAGGAGGACCGACTGCTGGTGACCCGGAGGGCTCCGCGCCGTCAAGGCGGCAGCGGCCCCGGGGTGCGGCGCGGGAGCGCATCGATCGCGGGTGTAGACCCGCCGTAGCGGCGTCTCCGCGCGCAGCTGTGCGCGCCCGTGCGGCTGTCGGGAACT